CATGGCCAGAGCCTCTGTCTGCAGCCAACTCCAGCTGCTCTAACCCCAACTGCTTCTTTTTGTTCACAGCATGCAAGCCTCCTTGTCCCCTCTGGCTCTCACTCGATGCTGTCACAATCCTAAGAAACAAGAGGGCAGAAGGGGAAACTGAGGTATGGGAAGGTGAGACAACTTGCCTAAAGGTACACTGTAGCCAACTGACAGAGGCCTAGGGAAAGGGTCACCTGTATGCTACCTGGTGGGTCACCTGTATGCTACCTGGTGGGTTGTAAATGGGTGGGCCCTTTTTAGGAGGGTGATGAGGCAGTTTTTTTCATCTTTTGAAAAAATATTTGAGTTGCTCCAAAGTACCAGGCATGGGGCCAAAGTGGGGGGCAGGTTTCAACCAAATTTTATCAAAATTTAAACCATCCCTGTTATTTATCTGAGAAGGGAATCACACAGGAGCACACGGACATTCACTGAAGTCCTTATGGACACAGCCTCAGAGTCCATCAGCAGATACCCTACGGTAGAGCCGTACTGTGGACTACTATGCAGCTGTTAAGAAGCAGGAGGCCTGCTTACCTCTGACACAGAAAGGTGTCCTTGATCTGTGTGAACTACATCTAAGTGAAAACCAACATATGATGGCCAGAATGTATTCTATAATTCCATTTTTGTTAAAACCAGACAAAACCAACACCTCAAATCAAATTGTTGTATTTGGGGGAGAAGTCTAAAAGGGGAAATGTTTATTCTATTAGGTTTGACCATAAGAAACTGCCTTTTCTTGAGGGAGATCCAGCCCACAGAGAACGGTGTGGAGGATGAAGTATTTGGAGGGAAAAGGTAAGAAAGAATTTTAAATATCTGGAATCCCTAAACAAACAAGCCAGAGCAATGGAACAGAACAAACAGCAGAAGATGTAATTCAAGACAACTTTCCAGAAATACGACTTAAAAAAAAACCCACTATTTTTATAAGTCAAGGCTGGTAGAATTTGACAGTGCCATGTGGTTCAGCCTAATAGATGCCTGTTTAATTTCTTTTTTTTTTTTTTTAAATATTTATTTTTATTTATTTATACAAGCACTGGGTACAGTCAGAAGCGCGGGAGGGCGAGAGAATTCACCAGAGCCAGAGCGGGGAGCAGAGCAGGCAGAAGGACCGAAGTACACTGCTGAGGGGAGCAGCGGGCGGCAGGAGAGGTCTGCGCGCCATGCGGGACCCTCCTCCGGGGCCGGGGAGCAGCCAGGAATCGAACCGGCGCTGCAGAGGCTGCAGGCAGCTTCGCAACCCAGCGCTCAACTGCTGCGCCACCGGGGAGGCCCTGCCTGTTTAATTTCTTACAGAGAACTTGTTAACGTGCAGTTCTTAAAAAACCAAGACACACAAGTGCTGGGCCAGCCTATGAACTCAAGCCCGCCAGCTTTGTTCTTTTCAAGACACTCTGATGACAAGGGCGGGGAAGTGGCAGAGAAGCTGATTTTGGGGAAAGCAACAAGGGTCATATCGTAAGAGGTGGCATCAAGGTTCTGAGATGCCATCTTCCGTGCCCTACCAAATGGGGAACTGAGGCCCTGCAACATGGTTACCTCCCCATCACTGGACAGTCTGTAACACTCACACTTGAGTCTCTTGGTTTGGTTCAGGGTCTTTGAACTCACCAAGGCAGGGTCAGAGAATCCCCATATCTCCTCCCCCTGAGCCCACCCATCACTAAGCCCAGTGCATTCATGTTAAAATATAAATGACCCACCCACTTCTCCCTTGCAGCTGGGGCCCGGCCTGCACTCTCACCGGGTGTGTGTGGGGTGGGTGTGTGCACCAGCTACTTGCTGCTCCCGTCCCTCCTGCAGTCTCTGCCAGCAGCCAGAGCGCACGCCTCAAAACACAACCATGTCACTCTCTGTGCAGAAAAGGCCTGCTTGCTCCTTGGCAGGCATGTGCGGACTTGGATTTGGGGAGGGCTCCCAGCACATCTGATAGGACCAGCTCCCTCTGCCTAGATCATTTGTATAAACAGCGTGGGTTGTGCTGAACACCTGTTCTCTGTCAGGGAGTCTGGAGTTTTGTGAGAGCCACGCAGACAGTGCCTACAATCCAGCCTGGTAAAGACCAGGCCTAGTAAAAACCTTGGGCCCCGCATCTCAGCAGGTCACCACCACTGGCTACAGAAATAGAGCTTCCCTGGGGAGGCTCTGGGAGCTCATGCGTGGAATCTCCAGACTTGAACTCATGTGCCTTTTTCTATGCTGATTTTAATTTATATCCTTTTGCTATAAAAAAAGGGATCTGTGTGCCCAGGCCTATGAAAACTCTTAGGGAGTCCCTTAACCTGGAGGGACCTTGGGGACCTCTGACACACTCCCTTATTTAAAAGTCTTCCTCGGCTTCTTACTGTTCTTATGGAGAAAGACCCAGTGCCTTCCAGAAGCCCCCCTCGATCGTGCACACTGGGGCCTCGGGCTGCCGGGCTGACCTTGTCTTTCACTCTCTGCACCATCCACATACGCGGCCTCCATCCAGCCCTCCATTCTCCACCGGTTCCTTAACCACAGGACCTTTGCACATGTGGTCTGGAATGTCCACCTTCTTTTGCCTTGTCACCCATCTTCTTCTCCTTTTCCTCCACCGAAGGTCTCCCTCAAGCATCCCAGAGTCAGGGAGCTGGCCGGGCACTGCCCTGGGTGCTCAGGCCCACACCCCTCTCCGATGGGGTCAGGGCCTCCTGCTGTGTGATGGTTTGAGTCTGTCGCCACCATCAGGGCAGAGGCCAGGTGGGTTCCTGCCCACCTGGTCTCCTCAATACCTGCGAGCAGGTTCCTGTTAAACACACCTGGAGGGTAGAATGACCCTCGAGCAAACCTCCCCTTGAGGGGAGGCAGGAGGACCCCCAGCAGCAAGCTCACCTGCCCCAGCGCCAGCCCCCACGCGCCCCCTGGGGATTTATGTTCTGAGGAATGCCTATTTTTAAAATCAGGGAAGTCTTTAAATAAGCGTGGCAGCTTTTCCTTCTCTAGGGTGGGGAGGAAGTTTGAGGTTCATGAAAACAACCACAGTGTCGGCTGACCAGCCTGGGGCAGGGGGACCTGCTTGTGCGCTGAGGAGCCCCCGGCAGTGCAGTTGTCCCCTCCCCTGCCCCCAGCTGTCCCTCCGACCCTCAGCTCCTTCTCCTGTGGGGCCACGATCCCCCGTCTCGACAAGATGAGTCTGCAGATGGCAAGAGGATGGTGGAGCTGGGGCGAGGCAGCGGAAGCCCCGTTGATTCTAACTATCCCCAGAACACCTGCTACTTTTCAAGCTCTGTGCACAGCACCCTAAAACAGCGACACGTCCATGAGGTGGGGACCGAATCACGTCCATTTACACGGGAGGAAACGGGGAACAGAGAGGCCAGGTCCCACAGTAAGGAGCAGAACTGGGGTCCCCACCCAGCTGCCAGGCCCAGAGCCCCCTCCTCCTCTGAACAGCACCCAGGACCTGGCTTACTGGGGGTCAGTGCGGGGTGGGGCGAGAGGCCCGCGGCCCTCAATGCAAAGCACACTTTACACCCCGCCTCTCCGCAGGCACTGACGCGAGCGCGCCTCCGAAGACCCTGCTGCATGCACGCCTGCCTCTTTAGCCTCCTTGACTTCATTGCTTAAAAGGTGGATGGCGCCACTGACGGATTCAAGGCTCACCAGTCTCCTGAGTCTGAAAGATGCAGGGATGGGGAAGATGAGCCCTGTCAACCTCCCCGGCGCCTCCCTGGAGGCGATGGTCCTGTCCCAAGTCTGACAGCAGCCACGCCAACTGGGAACTTAAGTCAGGTGCACAGGCAGCCCCAGGCCACTGCCCCGACCCCCGGACCCCGTGTCTTAGCCACACTTCAGCTGGGGAAGGGATGGTACAAAGAGACCCGGGCACCCCTTTCCTGCCTCGCTGTGGCGAGGCCCCTGGAGGCAGGCCCTGCTCTCCCTGTAAGCAGCGGCCCTCGGCCCTGGCTGCACGCTGCCACCCAGGTCTGCTGGTAACAAAGCTAATCTTGCCCAGACGGCGGTTTCCTCTAGAAACTAGGAGAGCTGGACAATGAAAAGGAACAACGTCTTCCAGTCAGCAGAGGCTTTTTTGCTACAAGTGGTTCTGGTCCCAACTTCCTCAGCTCCCAACACGCAGGGTCAGCGCCCTGTATCTGTGTGATGACAGCAGCCCCCCTCAAGGAGTTCTCCGAGGCTTCCTTGGCTCTGAGTCACTATTACTCCTCCGGCCCCCACAAACTGCCCCTATGTCACCATGTCTGAAGTCAGAGCGGGTGACACCCCCCACATGCCACAGCTATGCCCTCCTCCCACCTCGTCACCCTCACGGGGACGGGGGCAGCCAACGGGTGAAACACAGATTCCAGCACCGTCCTCCCGTCCCATCGCCGCCCACATTTGCTTCTCCGACTCTGCCCCCATCACCTCGACAAACATCTTTTCGAGGTCCTCCCAACCCCAACAAGCCTGCCCCCAGATCTCAAGGACGGAGCTCATCTATCCCGCTCAAGGGGTCAAGCTCTCCCTTGGAGTCAGGCCAGGAGAGTCCCAGGTGGGCCCACCCCACCAGCGCAGGCCTGAGCACCATCTTCACTCTGTGCACCCGAGTGTCTGTATCTGCAGAACGCATGGCCAGGCAAAGCCCCTGACAGCCGGGGGCCAGCCCCGCGTTCCGAGAAGATGGGTCGGAGGACAACATACCCTCCTGCTGACAATGCATCAGGAGCGAGGTGGTCAACGGCCTGCTGCTCCACTTTCCAGAGAAGGAGACGCGGGCTCAGCGAGGGAAGGCCTCAGAGCTGGGATCGGAATGGGCTGCTTCAAGCCAGCACCCTGAGGCTGCTAAACTCCTGCATTTTCACCTGTGGGGCTTTAAACCCCGCCCCCTCCATATACACAACAGGTGTTTTCCCTCTATCCCGTTAATAACGCCAGACAGAATTCCCTTCTCAGGACCAGAAGCGCTTCGGAGGGAGAGCCCACCAGGATCACTTTACCTTTCCGTCCGAGGTGGCCATTTTCCCGGTGTCTCTGGATCTGGAAAACAAGAAAACACAAGTCCAGATCTGCTGTCCGGGTCTCACGCACCTGAACGTGTGCCCAGTCGCACCTCCCCACAAATCATTTTTAACTTAGTGTCTGAAAAGAAGACGAAGCTTGAAGCGTATGCAGGATACAGACCAAAAAACTGCAAAGAGGCACTCAAACTCAAACACCAGCACGCCAACGCCCCGTGCCTGTGCCGAGCCTCGCACAAGCGTCGATGTTCCACTACATACTACCCGGCCACAGCCAGGACGGACCACTGATCCATGCCACACCATGGATGAGCCTCAAGACGTGGCGAAGGAAGTCGATGTGACGCCTTCCGTTGATGTCTAATAGCCGAATATGCAAATCTCGGCAGAGAGCGAGCAGATCACCAGTGGCCAGGGAGAGTGAGGGTTTCCTTTTGGGGGGACGGAAATGTTCTGGCCCTAGCAGAGTAGGCGGGTGACATCAGGAATGTACAAAATGCCACGGAACCATTCACTTTAAAATGGTTCATTTTATGTTATGCAGATTTCACTCCAGTTAAAAAACATACATTAGTGTTGGCAAAACAGCGAGAACCTGAAGGTGGACCAACAGGGTCTGGCTACGTCAGCGAAGGTACGTCTGAGCCTGCAGAGGTGAGGAAAGTCTTCACACGTGTATGTGGAAAGGCGCAGCCACACGGCGAGCCAAACCTCGTTCTGGCTGAGTGTGTCCTCCTCAGCCCACCCAGGTGAAAAACCTGCATACGCATTTTTGTTTAAAGTCTATGACTGGAAGCCAAAAGCTTCACAGTGGCTGTCGCTGGGGGAAAGAGAGTGATCTACAGGTGCGCGAGCGTTTCCCTTCTCTTCGCTTCCAGAAGGTCTGAACTTTTATATTGATGGTGTTACTTCCTGAAAATTATTTGTAATGTGAGTGACCTAATGTGAGCGCATGTAGTAAATATTTAAGTAACAAAAAAAATGTGCTGTGGCAAGTCAGTCTCTTTTCGACCCCTGTTCTTCCCAGAGGCAGCTGCTCTTCCTGGCGTCTCAGGTGGTCTCCAGGGTATCCTGTGCCTTCCCCAACACAGACACATTCGTTTTCTCAGACAAACCTGAGCCCTTACACAGCTCAGGTGCTTACTTCCCTTTACGGGTGGCAGGGTGAACGATGGCCCCCTAAGATGGGCCACCCTAATCTCTTGTGAATATATTAGAAAACTTGACTATATTAGAACTTGTGAATATATTAGAAAAGCGATTGCAATGCGATTAAATGAAGGCTCACAAGACAGGAGGTTTTCCAGGTGGCGCCAATGTGATCAGAAGGGTCTTTAGAAATAAAGCAGGAGAGTTGGAGATAAGATGCAACTGGAAAGCAGAGGTTGGAGGCAGAGAGGTGTGAAGAGATTGTGCTGCCGGCTTTGGCAAAGAAGAGGGGTCCTGTTCCCAGGAATGTGGGCAGCCTCTGGAAGGCGAGAAAGGCAAGGGAACAGATCCGTCCCCTGGGGCCTCCAGGAGCAAAGCGGCCCCTCCACACCTTGGAGTCGGCCCACTGAGGCTGATTTTTGATTTCTGACCTCGAGGGCTGTAAGATAGTAAGCCGGTGGTCATTTGTCACAGCGGCCATGGGAGACTCAGGAAGTATCCCAGGAATGGGTCAGTTCATTCTAGATCAAATGTATTCCTTGACTGACTTCATCATGTTCTAGTGAGTGACCCTGCACACGGTATGTTCTTTCATAACAAAAAAAAAAAAACAAAAAAACACCACTTTAGAAAAAAACATTCACAGAAACTTAAACAAAAGAACACTTTCTCTCCCCACTGCACCGGGCAGGGCATGTCAGGGCCTCTCAGAGAGCTTCTTGCTGGTTGAGTGGCAGCAGCTTCTGCAACCCCCAGAGCTCAGCTCCCTAGGGGACCTCACCCTGCTCTCTCGTGGACTCAACTGGAACCATCACAAGAGAAGGTGAAGAGAAAAATTAAGGTGCCCGGGACAGTTCCTTCCTTCACAAGACAGGAAACAGAAGTAGCCCAAACACAGAACAACACCCAGCTTCATTTCTCTCAAGCTACAGAATACGTAAACCTACCATGACCTCCCCATGAAAACAGACAAAACAAATAAAAACGAAAAATCCTGATGCTGGCGGGGCTGCAGGCAAACCTCATTCCTCACCAGGGATAATTTTGCTAGTCACCTGGATAAGTGGCATGTGGCTTCAAAATGATATCTTCACATTGAACACATTCATTTGGGAACTACATCTCACATAATTTGATTGCCAAAAAAGTTCAGCTTGAATAACAATGTTTAAAGCTAAGTTGGGGCCTCCCCGGTGGTACAGTAGGTTGAGCGCTGCGCTGTGAGGCTGTCTGCAACCTCCGCAATACGGGTTCGATCCCAGCCGGCCGGGGAGGGTCCCACATGGCGCAGCAGACCTCTCCTGCCTCGCCCACTGCTCCCCTCAGCAGTGTACTTCTTCAGTCTGCCTGTTCTGTTCTCCGCTCTGTCTGTGGTGAATCCTCTCACCCTCCCGCGCCTCTGGCCTGTACCCCCACTCTTGTATAAAAATAAATAATCTTTAAAAAAAAATAAAGCTAAGTTGGATATGATGGCTAATACCTGGAACAGATACTATGCAGGCAGCAGGCTGTCAGGAGGAAAGGCAGTTCTGAGGTCTGTAGAAATGCAGGCCTGTTCTCTTGGTGCTATTAAGCAACGTGGAGAAAGTAGAACTCTGCAGGTTGCCCAGTCTGCTGGCAACTGTACAAAGCCATCTGGACTTTACGGGCCAGGCCCCATGCTGGGTTCTGGGGAACTCAAAGTGAAGAGGCGAGAAAAAGGTCAGGGCTGGTATCTAACAGGACACAAATGAGGAATGAAGGAAATACAAGCAAGGTAACCTCAGCCGGGCTAAGCCCGGGAAAGAAGGAAAAAGCAATGCAGTGGAGGCAGGCGACGAGTCTTCCTCGGGTGGGGGGGTTAGGTGGGGCTTCTGAGTAGGTGACATTTACAGCTGTCCCTCAATTGCAGGAAGCTAAGTCACAATATCACCGGGAACAGCATTCCTGGGAGAAGGAAGAGCGTGTGCACAGACCCTGAGGGAGCAGTGTGTCCAAGAAAGAACAGGGGGCTCGTGTGGCTGCTGAGGATGCACAGGATGGTGGCAGTTGAGTCAGAATCCCCCAGGGTCGGAGTATGCAGAGGGGTTGGTAGATGATGCTGAGGATTTGGGTGTCAAGGGTGGTGGCAAAGACGATGACGAGATGGTGGTGGCCTGGATGTTGGGGTGCAGAGTGGGGGCCACAATCACAGTCTGCCAGGAGGAGAACTTGTGGGCTAGCTGTGGGGACAGCCCCCAGGTGTCAGGTCTGAGGGGCCCCGAGAGGAGTAGGTCGGGAGCGAGAATACTCTGTGTTCCCTCCTTCTTGCTAAACCAGAGGTGGGGGAGAGCTCGGGGGCTGCAGAGCAGTTCTGGAATTGTGCAAGCTTCAGCCCAGAGGTTTTCAAAACCCCGCGCTACCAGCTTTACCCCAGGAGCTGAAGGGGGAGAAGTTGTACCTCCAGACTTGGTCTTACTCAAGAAGCTCCCAGCTGCCAGCGGGGCTCTCCGGAAACACTGCAGCTCTCTGACAGCTCTAACCACTGAGCTTAAAGGTGCCCGGGGCAGAGACCTGCCCTGGCTTCTGGGGAATCCAAAGTGATGGCATGGTGTAGACGGGCACAGCCAGGTAGTAACCCGGGGCCGGGCACTGGACTAAACTTTACATCAGCCGTCTCACTTAATCTCAGCAAGCTTGGAAGGCAGGTTCCATGCTCAACGCATGGGACAGACAAAGAAACTGAGGAACAGAGAGGTGAGGTCTGTGGTTAGCCCACAGGAGCCCTTGTCTCCAGGGGAGGTGCTGGGTAAAAAGCCCCAAGGAGTTCCCCGGGCTTGCACTGCTCCCCCCTGGGTCCCAGAGTTTAATCTGGTGGGATAAATGGTTCTTGTCCCTGGGCACCCAAGAGGTGCGTGTTTAAAGTGTTTGCAGGTGTGGGCTTTGCTGCCTTGGGGGGTCTTCCTGCAGTGACCAGAGGGGTTCTTTGCTGCCTCTCCTGGGATGCAGGCGGTGCCTTGACTGCCCCCCACCCCCTGCCCGCCTCCTCTACGGAAGTTTCCCTGGGGCGGGGGGGGGGGGGGGTGAGGAGGGATGGAAACAACGATTTAGGGACTCACGCAGACCTGGGTGTGCTTCTGGCTCTGCTTCCTTTGGCTGTGAGCCCCGAGGCCCCTGGCTTGGAATCTCTGAGTCTTGGTTTCTCCACCTGTGAGAGGGAGACAATGAGGGTACCTGCCTCACCTGCGGCTGCTGCAAGGGCGCCTGGGGCAGTGAAGGCACCCGGCCCAGGGGAGCCCTCCGTGCCAAAGGGCAGCTCAAATGTTAATACTCCCGATACGAAGGGGAGATCTCCGAGGCCATGCCTGACACCCCCCAGCACCCCCAGGGCAGGCAGGGGGTCCCGAGCAGGCACGGCCCGCTGCGTGGCTAGAACCGGGGGCAACCGGGGGCGGCGTCCCAACCGGGGGTGGGGTCCGTCCTCCGCCGAGGGCGCGGGCTGGGGAGCGGGGAGCGGGGCGCCCGGGACGGAGAACTTACCTGCAACCGCCCGCCCGCGGCCACCGCAGCGACTGGCGCCCCGCGTCCGCCCGGCCGCCCCTGCCCCGCCCCCCCGGCCTGCCCCGCCCCCCCGGCCCGCCCGCCCCCGCCCCCTGCGGCCCCCCCGCCCTGCCCCCGCGCCCCGGCTCCCCCGCCCGCCCCCCCCCTGCGCCCCCCACCGCGCTGCCCCCGCGCCCCGGCTCCCCCGCCCGCCGCCCCGCGGGTGCCCGGCGCCCCCGGCCCCTCTCCCGCCCCGCGGGCCCCCGCGCCCCGCAGACGACAGCGGCCCCCCCGGGGGAGCCGACCGCGCGTCACGGGGCGCTGGCCCGGCGGGCCCGGGAAGGGGTGGGAGGAGGGAGCCACTTCCTTCCTCCCGCTGGATGCAGGGGCGGCCCCACCCCCCACCCGCCCCGGGAGCGCGCCTGCCTCGCCCCCCGCCAGGCCCAGACTCGGGGTTACTTCGGGGGACCCCGAGCGGCCTTGCCAGCCTCCCTGCCGGGCGCTGGACGGCGGGCGGGACGCCCCGGGATGGGCACTGAGGCTGGGGGTCGAGCGCGGCGCCCGCTCCAGGGCTGGTCGGGGAACAGGGGTGAGTCTCCCTGTCGGGGGCTGCGCGCCAGGCCCGGCCAGCTCCGGCTCAGGCGCACCCCTGCCCGGGCAGCCCTGCCCGTGGGAGCGCGCGCGTGCCCGCCTTCCCCAGAGGCCCCGGTCTCCAGCTTCCACGGAGAGAAACCAGCCCGCGGCCTCTGCCAGGGCTGGGGCGGGAGAAATCTCAGCTCCCTGGAGTTCTGCCTCCCAGGCCCGCGCGGAGCAGGCGCCAGCCCAGCGCTGAGCCAACGTGTTGTCTGCTCGCTGGAGGTCAGAGGTGGGGCCGGGTCTCACAGGACCAAGATCAAGGTGCAGGATACAACCCGGTGACTCCGGAAAGGACTTCTGGCCATCTGCGTGGAGGAGATGGCAGCTCTCTGCCCCCCGGGGCCCACTGCAGACAGCACAGCCACGGGGATGAAGGGTGACGATGTGGCCTCGAGACAAGGTCATGTCACGCCACTATCACAACGATGGAAACCTTGCGGGTGGGCCTTGAGGATGTGATGTAAAATAAGTGACACAGACAGAGACAAACACCCTATGATTGTACTCGTGGGAGGTAAAAAACAGCACAAATGAACAAACAACACAAAACAGAAACAAACTCTTGGGTACAGAGAACAGGCTGGTGTCGCCAGGAGGAGGAGGCAAGGAATGGGGAAATCGGGGAAATCGTGAAGCTGGGTGACGGGGCGGGCTGTGGTCCGGGCAGCTAGGCATGTGATGGTGATCCTACTGCAGGGGGCACGCGTGTTGAAACATAGTGCCCTGCCCCTGGAATTTACCGCATGTTATGAACCACTGCTCCTTCCATCACTTTGTCAAAGAATGAGTTTAATTGAAGTATGAGATTAAGTGGGAAAAAGAAAAAAAAGGACCCATTTTTTTTTTTTAAACCCTATGTGTCAGGTGGCGCAAGGGGTTAGGTTGCAGTACTATGAAGCTATTAGCAGCCACCAGGGCACGTGTTTGATCCCCAGCTGGCCAGGGAGCTGCCCACATGGCGCGGCAGACCTCTCCTGTCTCCCCGCTGCTCCCCTCAGCAGTGTACTTCAGTCAATCCGCCTGTTCTGTTCCCCACTCTGTCTCTGGTGAATCCTCTCACCCCCCCTTCTCCACCCCGCACCTCTGGCCTGTACCCCAGTTCTCGTATGCATAAATAAATAAATCTTTTTTAAAAGTCCTATGTCTTCCTAATCAGGTCGCAAACTCTATACCAGGCTCGCCTGGCTTGTGTTGTCCATCTCTGCAGAGCTATTTTGTCATGTCTACCAAATGGGTCTGAGGTCTTACATGTTTATATTTGTATCACCTAATTTTGCATGAAATGACAGATGAATCAATTAAAAAAGAATCAAAGACCACGTTCCTTCTGGAAGCTGCAGCAGAGTGGAGGGGCCGCAGGAGGGACCGTTCCTTGCCTTTCTAGCTCCCAGAGGCGGCCTGCTTTCCTTAGCTCCTGACCGCGGCCATGCAGGGGGCATGCTCACAGGTGCTGGGGACTAGGAGGTGCCCATGGGGGGCAGTACTGTGCCTACCCATTCCACTGCGTCTGTTCTTCCCAATGCTGTCTCCCACCTCCTGTTGCGTAGCAGCCTTTCTTCAAAAGCATCTCTGGCTGATCCGACTTCTCAGTCACAGGCTGTTATTACAACGGCTCCATTCCGGTCCCTAAGGCCTATGCTGGTCCGTCTAAATGTCAGCCTTATATTTTATTAAAAATGTCCCTAGACAACCAGCTTTACAGTGGGGAAGGTGCATGAGCTATTCTTGATAGCCTCTCCTCTGAGTTCACTCCCTGAGGGCTGGAAGAGGGAACTGGCATCAGATACCCCCTCACCTAACTGCCCCCCTCCAAGCTGGAACCCTCTTTCTGTTAGTTGTTACAGGGGCTCCTGCCTGTAGTTATGAGCTTAGCAGAGACAGGTGGGGTCTCAGTGGATCTACTAAGGCAAAATGCTAGCCCTGCCCTTGGCTGGGCTCGGGCTGACTCAGGCTGGGGGTCACACTTTGTCCCCCCTATGCTGCCCCTTTGCTCCACGCTGCAGTAGTCCTGGGGAAGCCGGCAGCTGCCAGCCTTCCCATGTCCTGGAGACTGGGGCCATGGCAGGGACCCACCTCCGTGCTTCCAGGAATCAAGACGCTAGGGGAGCAGGCTGGCCAGCTGGGGAACACTGATGTCCTCGGTGGTGCTATTTGCACTGAAATCCCTTTGGTACTACTCAGCAGACAGGAAGAAACCTCAGTTGTACTTCATCTTTCTCCCCAGCATGTTCTAGCACACAGTAGGTGCCTTACATTCCTATGGCATAAATTATTTATTTTTTTAAAGATTTACTTATTTATGCATACAAGAACCGGGGTACAGGCCAGAGGTGAGGTAGGTGAGAGGATTCACCAGAGACAGACTGGGGAGCAGAACAGGCAGACTGACGAAATACACTGCTGAGGGGAGCAGCGCGCGAGTCAGGAGAGGTCTGCTGCACCATGCGGGTTATCTCCCTGGCAAGGCAGGGATGGAACTCGTGCTGCAGAGGCTGCGGATAGCTTCATAGTGCTGTGCTTAACCCCCTGTGCCACCAGGGAGGCGCTCCTGTGGCATTAATTAATAAATGAGTATCGTGTCTAGGAAGACAAGGATGCCGACCTTCCTCCTTCTGTTCAACGTTACACTGAAGAGCCCAGATGATACAGTAACCCAGGACAAAGGACAAGAGCATTGAATCTTTGAAAAGAGAAGAACTCTCACCTGTAATCAATGTGACTATCTAGAAAATTTAAGAAACCCCACATTGGACACCAGGGGTGTGACTGGCCCTTTCTGGAGCTGAGGTCCTTAATCCTTAGGGCGGAGTCACCTGTGGTTCACAGAAAGCATCCAAGAGGCCCCGCAATGTGTGTGTGTGTGGGGGGGGGGGAAGTGACACCTTCATTTCCATTAGCCTCTAATTGAATTTTAGCATTTCTTTCAATTATGAGCATAGGAAGCAAATCCCAGTTGTACTCACGACATTGTCATCATTCAAAATCACAGATGTTCAAGTCACCACGCAGTCATAGTGGTTAGCTCAGCTCACAACCTATGCCCGCCGCTGCTTCGAAACCACAGTAGTTATTAAACCAGCTATTAGTTCTAGAAGGTTAACATCCTAGGTTACTTGATCCCAACTTAAAAAATAATTCGATGCCCGCATTTTAAGATAACTGGTGTCCTTTGTAATGCAACACATTCTATTTGTGTGCATTTAAAACATGACTCTGAGGCGAGGACCCATGTCACCAAAAAGACCAGACACTTCTGCTCTGTAGGAAGCACTAGCTCTCGGGCCCGGGCAATGCCAGCCCACTTCTCTGGCTCAAGGGCGTCCCAAGCAGTCAGGCCCTCTTCCCTCTAGGGTAGGTGTCAGTCATGTCCCGGGTTTCCCCAGCGGGCTTCCTGAGGGTCCCCCCTGCTGAAGGAGGGGGAGCATTTTGAGCAAGCTGTCTGGGTTGCTTGTGCCCCCAACCAGCTGGCACTGGGCCAGAGCAGTGGCCAGATCTGGTTTTACCCAGTGGGGAGAGAAGGGGCTGCCTCTGCTGCTTTTGGTTCCCCGGGGCAGTGTTTCAGCCGCTACTGTTGACCACTTCCTCTTCCCTGGGCAAAAGCTAGACGCAGGCTCTGGGAGAGTGTGTGAAGCGGAGAGATAAGAGAGAGTCACAGAAGAGGCCTTCGCCAGGCTGCGGGCCCTGGGTTTCCCAGCCCGGGTCCAGAGTCTCCTTCCCCAGCAGAGACGACTCATGGACAGCAGCGATGGCCGCGTCAGGGTCTTCACAGGCTTGGATAGCTCTGCGTGGTAAGTAGCTGTGTGAAGAGGTTACGGCTAACTCTGACCTGCTCTGCTACTCAGCTCAAACTTTTGCTCCGTGGGAATTCGAGAGAATCTGGAAAGGACACAGGAATAGGCGTCAAGGACACCTGGGATGGGATCCTTCTGGCTGGGTGAGCTTGCACTAATTCACAAAGTCTTTGAATGCCACCTATGTGCCAGGTGCTGAGAATGCAGAGGTGAGTGAGGACCCTACCTCCTCTTGCTGAACTTACTCTCTTTGGCCGGCTAGGGGGGCACACAAAGCCTGCTACTGGGAAAGAACCGTCAGGGTACTATGGCAGAGAACGCTAGTGCCAGGGTTGAGATAAACCTGGGCCCAGGGAAGCCTCTGGGAGGAGGTGACAGCTGAGAGCTGGGGCAGAGCTGGCTGTGGAGACTGGCGAAAACCTTGTAAGCAGAGGAAACAGTATGTGCAAAGGGCCTGAGGTGGGAAAGAATTTGGCCAGGGGAGACACCAAAATGAGCCAGCATCACTGAAACATGGTGGGAGGGGGAGGGGTGGGGAGCAGTAGGTCACAGACGGGGCAGGGGTTGACAGGAAGGCCTGGAGTTCATGTAAAGTGCAGAAGGTGTGGAAGTTTCAAGA